GTACGCCGACGGTGGGCCGGGCCTGGCCGGGCTGGCGGCTGGCAGCCAGGCGGACACGTCGCGAGTGTGTCGAGGGGAAGGGGTGAAGGGATAGGAGGCGGCGGCGGCAAGCGGCACCCTGTGTGAAGAAAGGAAGAGTGTAATTACGAATTCACGTCAGAGATGTGTCCGTCCCGCAAGCTGACAGGGCGGCGGACAGACAGCGCAAGCGAGCGGTGTAGGGACCGCAAAATACTACTAAAAACGCGGCCAGGACCGCGGTGTGTATGTGGAACGTGCCCGTGCGTGCGCGCGGGCTGGTGGCCGTGGACTCGGGGACGTCCACTGCGCCCTTGCAGTCCTTGTAGGGCCATGGAGTGGCACCGCGTGCGTGTCCTCTGGCGAGTCACTGTCTCGCCTTCTCCTCCATGTCATGCCCGCCGACGCCCTTGCGCCCCGAGCCTGGCCGGCGACGCGCGCGTCCTTGCCCCAGAGACGATCGCGCCGGGGCAGTGGGGCGCCTGGAGGGCGCCTGGCTCTGGCGGGGGTGGCGCGGGGGGCGGCGGCGCGGGGGTGCCTCCCCCGGCCCACTGGCCTTGCCCCCGCCCACGCGCGCCCGCCAGTACCGTGCCCACCCCTTCCAGACCCATAGACAACCCTTTCCACGAAGACGATTGATGACGAGCGGGGGCACAAGAACATTAGTGGCGGGCCGACTTGGCACACTGGTATTTTGTGGACAAAGTCAGGTTTACACATCGCACAAATCGCATTGAAGTTCTAAATACGACCGTGGAGCTCACGCCACATTCGGCCGTAACACTCTAAATGTCTAAGGAATTTTTAGCCAGTCGTTTGAGACTGACTTTTACGTTCGCTATAGAAGCCAGCCTAATCCACTTGAAAAACAGCCCAGCCCCAGCCCAGCTGGTTTTGTAACTAGCACCCAACTGCTGTGTGCATAACTAGCTCAGATACAATATTGTAATTACCAACTCACATTTAGTGACTAGCAAGTTACAATGTATCAGAACTCAGTTATGCACACAGAAGTCCGGCGCTAGTTGCAAAATCACGCCAGCCGCCCATAAACTCGAGGGCCCGCTCTGTGCTACATGAGGAGGGAGAGGGGACTTTTCCCTCCGGTAGAGGCAGTCCTTAGGGGACTGTCTAAAAATTGTCCTTGATATTCAGAGTGTACTCATGCGACTCATACTCGCCTTTTGTCGGCGCTCTTCTCTCTTTTCACTTTGCCGCATCGTTCTATTGAATTGGGGCGGGAGAGGCCATTTAGGGAAGGCCGGGCCGGAGGCCGATAGGGGGTCGCGGGGGCGCCGCCTAACGTCCCGCGGACATGCGACGGCATCCCGACCGACCCCGACGTCGCGCCGCAGACCCGCGAGCGGGCGACCGGGAGGACCCAGCCTAGTCTTCCGCGTTGGGCCCCTGGAACTGGACCAGCACGACGAGGTACGTCGTGGTGGTGGCGGCGACCTGCGAGCACCCAGAACAGAAAACACGCCGTCATGAATGCTGTCACATCGTGGTATCACTCCGCGCTCCACGCGTACGTTTCCCGCGCACCCTCCCCAGCATCCTCCTGGCGGCCGAACTCCACGGCAAGCTCCGCGTGGCCCCGCGCTCCTGCTAACTCAGCAGCACTTGCGGACTCCGGTCGCAGCACCGCGTGGCTCGGGCAGCCGGACGATGGACGAGACGGCCGACCACTCGGGTTACCGTCGACATCGCGGGCGCGGCCGGGGCGCGGGGCGTCCCCTCTCGCGTCCCAGGGGGAACGGAAACGGCGCGAGCATGTGTGCGATAAGGGTCATGCCCGACGTACCCGCCGCACTGCACATGGCACTGCAGGACCACATTACACCGAAGCACGCGCCAGAGTCCTAGTAGTCTCGCGGCCGAGTGAGAAGAGTGCACTGTGGCCGAGGACCCTGTGCGCGTGAAACGGTGGAGACCACACACTAAGACGCGTTTTGCGGAGGCCAAAAGTGTACTACATGGCTAGAGAGACAGAGAGGCTGGGCAACATATTGCTGGTGTGCCTTCTTCTGCTGGCCGGGGCCAGCCGACTGATTCAGATGATCGCTTTCGTACCTCCGTCCTTGTCGCACTCATGGGACACCACCACTAGAGGCGAAAGAGAGAGCGAGAGAGAAGGCGCGATGACTATAAACGCTCTGCGGAATCAGTCGGCCGCGGCGGCCAGGGTTTAGAGCGATGCTCTTGGGCTGATGAGGAAGCCCTGGAAGCGTCCGACGCAATTTAGCAGACGGCCGCCGGCAAGTACCCGGCGCGCGGCGGCCATGCGGCGGCGCCCCCCGCCACGAGCAGGGGCCGATGTCATGCGACCAGCAGCGTGGCGGGGGTCATAGACTACGTCAGGCCGTCGACGGGCCGGCGCGCAGCTGAGGCGGGGCGGAGGAGGCATTCTGCGGTATGGCACTGGCGTGGCACTGGCGGGTAGCAAATGTGAGCAAATGCACAGGCACGCCCGCGATGCGGCGCCGGCCCGGCCCGGTAAGATGGGCACAGTAAGAGGTACTTTACGAATAAGCAGAACAGAAGGAATCCTGGCTTTTGCACCATAACAAGCCGCAGGTCACTGGCGCGTAACGACACGGTTTCTCGTGTACCACATTTGTGAGGTTCTCAGCTTTAATATTGTATACAACAGTTATGAATTCTTTTCAGTATTAGCGGAGATACGCGAGAAACCGTGCGCTTGGTCATGGCTTTGTTATGGTCCGGGAGCAGAGGTCGGACGGGATTCCTCCTGTTCTTCTTATTCGTAAAATACCTCATTGGACGGCCCTGTCGGACGGAAAATTCTTTTAAGTAACGCCCGAACACTTTCTTCGTGGTACTTCAATTTGACTGGGAGCTGGGCGAAGAAACGTATAGCAGGACGCCACGATGAACGCCGTAGGCAGCATATTTTCTTTCAAGGGTAACTTTATCATGACGCCTGGAAGTGATTTGCGCTCGGCCCCCGCGTACCCGCCGACCGCAGTCATACTTCCTCCCGCCGGGCCTCGCTGGCCTCCCACCGACCGCATTGCTTTCCGATTGTTTCGAGCTTACGGCCAGCAGCAGGTCGTAGTTGAGCGTGAACATGGAGCAGGTGTGCAGCCGGGCCCGCAGCGCGCGCACCTGCCGCCGGAACAGCTGCAGCTGCGGGACAGAGTCAGCGTGTGAGCACGCAGGGCAGCGGCGCACGCTCAGAGCGTGACGAAAAAGAGGTCGCCAACACACACGACTGCTAAAGAGCCGTATTTACACAAATTTCCTCATTTTCAGGGAAGTAAATGTGACTTTTGTCACAGCATTTCGTTATATCGGTTCGAAGGGTTTTGGAAAATCAACAACGACGATATTTGTGTGTGGCCCGAAGACACAAAGTATGCAGGGTGCTGCTAGCGCACTGACCTGCTGGTTGGAAGCGCTGTCCCAGGCCGTCGGGTCCACGAGGCAGGCGAGCTGCAGCAACACCTGGTCCTGCTGCAGCACCTTCTCGCTGCGGTACACGACGAAGAAGAGGCGCATCGTGATGAAGCACACCTCGATGGCGTAGTAGGTGAGCTCGTACTCGCGCTTGTGCTGGCTGTTCTGGAGGGTGCCGACGAGCGCGAAGGCGTCGGTGATGAGCTGGATGCGCGTCTGGACCAGCTTGCACAGCAGCGACACGCCGAAGTACGAGGTGAGGTCCTCCACCTGCTGGAAGACGCGCTGGTGCAGCACGCGCAGGCGCGACAGCTGCTTGGCGCGCAAGTGGTCCGGCCGGCCCGGGGCGCCCTGGGGCCCCTGGGGCTTGGGGCCGCCGCCGGCGGGCTTGATGGCGTCGCTGAGAGGCACCCCCTGCAGGTGCGCGCCCACTCGAAGACCCCCGTAGAGCAGGTCCAGGCCGCCGCCCGGCCCCCACGCCACCTGCTTAGCTGGGCCGACCGGGCCCCTAGGGGGCTCCGTGGCATCCGCCAAGTGCCGGGCGAGGGCCTTCCCCAGGGGCCCCCCGAGCGGCCCGCCCAGAGGCCCGTCCATCACGGACTCGGCCTGCAACACGAACGAAGCCCCTCTCAACACTCCCTTCAGGGATCGGCCAAAAGTGCGCCCGTCATGCGCCTTTTACAAACGTGCCAAGTTGAGCAAGCTCTCGTAGCGCCCGCTGGGTAGGCAACATGTTGCCTGCAATGCATGCGTGTACCGCGGGGTGGCCTACACTGAGTCTAGCAGGCGCTTACCGGAAGAGTCGGAGGAAAACAGACGTACTTTTTGGACGGCGCTGTGCTCATCGACTCGACAACGCGTACCTGGTCGCTGGGGAAGTAGCCCCGGGCCAGGTCGCGGAGGCAGACGACAATGGCGCGGTAGGCGCGCTCGAGCAGCAGGGTGCTGAGCAGGAATTGGCCCTCCACGGCCATGGGGACGAGCCGCACCAGCAGCACGGCGCCCATGTGCCACACCTCCACGACGAAGTCCTGGAAGCGCGTATACAGCCAGTTCGTCCCGATCACCAGGGCCAGCATGACCCAGACCATCAGGAAGAAAGTAAAGCTCTCCAGCGGGCGACACCGACTGCAACCAGAGCGAGGCGGTTGTCGCCAATGAGTGTGTTGCTCCCAGGAGGACCTAACAGGGGTGCACGAACTCTCGCCCACCGGGAGGTCGAGGAAGGCGCGTGGTTCACGGCGTCCAGCTCGGCCAGGGTGGCCAGGGCTCCCCGCCAAGACACGGCCATGGCGCGCGCCCCGAGCAGCGAGTAGCCCGTGCAGAGCAGCGCGATGAACGCGTTCAGCACCATGGGCACCTGCATGACAGGGCAATACATGTTACGTCAAGTTTAGGGGTGGGATACTTCAATGGTTCTCTATTTGAGTTCTGGCTTAGAATTGATAATTTAAATAATTTTTGAGGGCGCTATGAAGAGGTATCCCGCCGGGGAATGACCAGCACGAGTTCATGAAAAGTGCGTTGAAATAGGAACCCCACGCCCCAAAATTCCGAAATTTGTGCAAGATACGCAAGACCCTCAGTTGCAGCGTGCGCGACCAGCCGGCACCCAGTGATGGCGGCGGTCACTGGCGGCCCGCACCTCGTAAATGTAGTTGTTCAAGGTTCTGGAAGGGTCGATCAGCGTGTCCATGAAGTGCTTCAACAAGAAGTACGCCGAGTACGCGGTGGCGAGCGAGACGGCCACGCAGGCCGGCATCCACAGCGGGGACAGGGAGAGCCACTGGGGGTCGCCGCTGAGGTCGCTCGTGGGGACGAAGCGGAGCGGCTGCAGCCCCAGCAGGCGGGCCAGGCAGTAGTTGGGCCAGATGAGGAAGGGGATGGCGTGGAACCTGCGTCGCGGTGGCCCGGGGGCGTGGCCGGGCGCACCCTGGCGCCAGGGCCGCGCCGGCTGCGGCGAGAAGGTGGCCCAAAGGCGGTGCAGAGGGTCGCGGCCTCGCTGCCCCTGGGGCTGCTGCCACACTTTGTTGCCAGCCTTGGCCCGCGAGGGGTCCACGCCCCAGCGTCCCGAGGCGCCCATGCCCCTCCGTCGGCGCTCTCCCGTCCGAAGGGTCATGCCCACCCCGCCCCACTGGCCTGCTCCCGCGGAGTCGCCGTCTTGACGCGGAGGTCACACTCCACGGCCCCCGCGACTTGGGACGCGTTCGAGGTGTTTTCGAGGACGTGTCCCGGAGGCGGCCCCCGGCACCTGCCACGCCTCGTTTAGCACCCAGAGCAAACAGCGTGTTTGCCTTCGGCTGGTCTGGCCAGTCCTGTCCGCTCGGGCCGCCGTCTCAGTGGGCTCATCGGGGGGCTTGCGATGGCAAAGAAATGGAAGACGTTGTCCTGGCGAAGGGAGAGTTTTACTGCTCAACCATAACAATCAATTCGACAAACTATTATCACATCATTTCTTAGCAGAAATCAGTCAGAGAAAACACAATCCTGCAGCAACTCAGAACAAGGAGATGTTTTACAAAAAGAAAAGCACAAACAGCTTTTGAAATTCTTATCAAAAGAAGATAGTTAATATCTTCAAATGCCTCCTTAGCAAAACGTATAAATATGCATATCCTAACGGGAGCACTATTTAAATTGTCATACAAAATTAGAAGAAACAGAAAATTTCACAAATAAAAAAATTAAGGATGTACAGAGATTCCTTAAGCAACTTCAGGAACGTAAATGCACAAATTATCAGATACAATCACAAGTTTTTCTCGTCAACAGATTTATTCAAATCAAGAAAAAGTGAAAGGAGTAGTAAGGAATTGTAACAAACTGTCCGAAAATTCTTAGAAGGCTTCTATAATAGTGAATAATCCTCAGTCAAAATAGGAGTGCATGCACTACTCCAACATTAGAGACCAGCTCTCATTTTTCCAATTTTATGTTTACAGCATCCAATACAATTACTTTTATAAAATTGTGTATAAATGCACTTAATATTCAGAAATAAATGTCTGCAGTAAAACCCTGACTCTTTATGGCATGTCTTATAAATCTGAAAACAATATGTGAAAAAGCAAATAATAGTCTAAGAAAAGGAGAGACTGAACTGGCTGCAAATGTCTTCGTTATTATGCATAACATGTCGATTAAAACAATAAAACAAGTTAGTGACCACCTGCTCCATTTTCTTTGGTCTTCTTTGTGTCATTCAAATCCTGTTTCTCACTATTCATTTCCACATCACTTTCATACTCTTCGTCATCATCTTCCATTTCATCATCATCTTCACCCTCCTCCTCATCAAAGTCTTCATCCTCAGCATCCTCCTGCTGTTCCATAAATTTTCTGATAACAATGCATTTAGTCATATGACAGCTGCAAGGTGTAGGATGCTTCTCTTCTTCTGGATCAAGGAGCACTAACTCAATGTTATAATGACGAGTGGCCTCTGGATCTCGTGCCAAGGTAAGTTCCCATGCTAGAGGTTCAGCCTCTTCAACGGTCCGTTCTTCAGGGAGGACAATAGCAGTCTGTTTCCAGTGGGTGGCAGGTGCAGATGGGGCAGTTGACAGGACTAGACCAGAGGGGAAACGAACAGTAAACCACACACACACACCCTGATATCTGAAACAGAGCAAAGAATTTTAAAAGATAAGTCAAGAAAAAGTACGTCTCCAAACTAGAATGGACATGAAACGCTGACTAACCTTCCAGCACTGTTTGCTGCAACTACATGCTTCACACTCATCTTCTCTAAATCTGCCATACACACAGTAGCAAGGTTGATGCTGGCAACAAGATTTCCTGCGCCAAGAAGATCTTCGGGATCAATAGTCATAACTTCAGGACTGTTTCCTTTCTTTCGGCGCCATGCTTTGCCAACACATTGCATAGAAACCTTTTAAAAAAGTGAAAAAAAAAAGACAAAAATGTCAAAAATAAGAAAGGGGGTAAAATTAAAACTAAACTAGGTTTGTAAATCCAGTCAAGCTTACTCCATGGACATCTTCCCAAAAATCATATAGTGATGGTAAGCAGCAAGGGGCAGCCCACAAGTCAGCTTTGTCAGGAAACATGGATCCGCCTGGTTTCAATAGACGATCCCTTGCATTCAATACAGAGTCCAGCATTCCTTCATGTAGAAGATAAAAGCCCATCCATTCAGACACTAAAACATCAGCCTTATCTCCATTTGGTAACTCAATGTCCTCAACTCGTCCTTGTATCACCTGTAGACAATGAAATAGACGAATGTTATTTTAAACCATATCTCTATGTATTAGATAATTTGGAAGAGCGTAGTCAAGTGGTATTTGAACAAGAAGTAGAACAGAAATGGAGAGATTACTGACCTCTACTTTGTCTGATAATTTATTTTCTTTGATGACTTCCTTCATCAGCTCTGCTAAATTACTTGCTTCAATTGCATACACCTTCTTGGCACCAGCTAAGGCACAAAATACAGACAAAATTCCTGGAAATAAAAAGTTATTAGTGACAGGATGGTGAGGTTGTAGATATGGTTAAAATGAAAGAATTTCTAACATACCAGTGCCAGCTCCAACATCAATGACAACTTTGTCCTTAAACATAGCTTTGTTTGCACTGATGGCATGTCGGTACGCTTCTGTTCTGGGATGGTCATTCAACATTAAATGGTGCACCTAAATTATGACCAGAGGTTGTAAATACAGTACACATCACACGTAATCTTCATTACATTTGCAGTCGTAAGTGGTTTAGTTTGTTCCAGAGAATGAAATACAGCAGTTAAGACTTACCTCCAGATCTTCATAGCTCTTGAAGTAATCTTCTTTAGGTGTATCGGCGGCCATGTCTACACCGTTCATAACAGCTATGGCAGAGGAAAAACAAAGACATTATAATTAACAACAAACAGGCGAACGCTGCTGAACCAAAATCAAGCCAGAGTGGTAGAGGACATCCACTAAAAACTTCAGACACAAACATAACCTCTCTAGTAGGCCGGCCGTAGGTCAGCGTCGAGGCGCAACAAGTTAGCAGCAAAATAATATACTTCAACAAATTTTAAGATTCTGCTTACCTTATCACTGCAAACTATCGATGCTTTACAAAAATGACGTATAATCAGGAAATATTTGTCAGGTATGAACCTCAGAGAGAGAGACGAGTCCACCAATCAAATGTTTTCATGAAAAGAAAGTGCGACAAAAGAAAAGAAAGCGATGGCGAAGGGGGAGCACGGGAGAGTCGGTCGGTCACGTCGTGTAACGTCGTCACGTTGCACCTGTCAATACCCCATTCGACCAGACATTCAGCAATACCCCGTGACGTGCTTTAGAGACACTTCCCCTTACCGCTGTTAGATGGCGCTTCTTTCGATATGAAAAATCGCTGTTGTTGTTGCCGCTAGAGCTTGTTTTTGTTGTTGCGGTGGTGGTGACGTTAGGGTTTGGTTAGGTCCTGGGTGTGAAATCTGTGACTCATTCATTCGCGACCGAATTTTCTTCAGCCATTCAAACGAGCTTCAAGAGCCTCTCTTTATTCTTTGCTTAGTAGAGTTGAGAGATCTTACAACCGTAATCATGAAGGCGAAAATGGCATTTCAACATCAAGCAGGGACAGCTATGGAGTGTTTAAGTGTAAGTACCATCCTCATTGAAAATTTTGATACTCTGTACTTTTGACTCGTTTTTAGGTCAATAATAATGAATTCCAAAGAAATATATGGTGGTTAAATGTTTTAATCAATTACAGAGGTTATGCTTTTATGAACTCAAGTGCTGCTTTTTTGGGTCTTGATTTTTTGTGACCTTAAAAATAGGTTAGTAGTTTATTAGGTCTCGATGTTGTTTCATGCCTGTTATTCTTTTACAGATTCCTATAACCCTTCACAAGGAAACAGTTATGGATGATCTTGGACGTGAAGTTCTCAAATGTGGTTTTAAAATTGGCGGCGGAATTGATCAAGACTTCAGGAAAAGTCCCCAAGGCTACACGGATAATGTAGGTTTCTTCCAATTGACTCATAAATATACACCATTTCTGGTTACCTTACAATTCTACAAACAACATTTTCTGTTTAGGGAATTTATGTCACAGAAGTTCATGACGGCAGTCCAGCAGCCAAGGCAGGTCTTCGGATGCATGACAAAATTTTACAGGTATATATTGATCGTGTGGTATATTACTTTCTCTCTCTCTCTCTCTCTCTTGTATAGTATCTTAATTTCATTGGTGTTTTCTTTAAATTCAGTGCAATGGATATGATTTTACAATGGTTACACACAAGAAAGCTGTGGACTACATCAAGAAGCACCCTATTCTCAACCTACTGGTCGCTCGGAAGGGTGTGACATCAACATAACCATTCATTACTTGAAAAAATGATTTTGTACCTGTATAAATATTTTTACTGCCTGTTATGATGCAGGACACTTGGTTTCCAGCTAGAGAATATTGTTTCTTGTTCTAAAAACAGAATTGTAAACCAGAATTTGATTTTAACTGTTAAAGGAAAGAAAGAGAAACATTCTTGTGAGAACAAATCTTTATTCTACATTGTGATTTTACCACAAATGGAGTTTGGATTGCCTTGTTGTGAAACAATGCATTAAGTACTTTATGTAAGTTCTCCCACTTTTTATAAATTTTGTAATTTGTATTCTTGAACTTCAAAAGTTGATGCCTTGTGTTCTCTTGCTCTTGAGATACTTTTTTTTATTGGGTTTGTCTAAATTAAAGTGTTTGTTCAAATTACAGGCAGCTAATTTAATGTTCTAATTCTCTTAAGCATTCTTTTATGTTAGCTTTTGTGCTGATTGATTTTTTTCTGGGAACATTTGTGTTAAGATGTGGATGGAATTTGAAACTGTGAATGTGATATAGAATGGATGTAGTTGATATCATGCTTAAGTACTCTCTTGAACATTGACATTTTGTCACCTGTGAGCTTGTAATTGCTATTTTTGGGGAAATTTGGCAAAATTATCATTATCTACTTGTCCTCAAAATGCATATTGAAAATTATTGTCATGGCCTTATTAATACACCATACTTGTGGGGTAAAGTGCATGCCAATTGCATCCTTAAATATTCATCTAGTGGTTAGAGACAGGAGGTGGGTGTGGATATTGCTTTTCATTTGAAAGTAGTTGAATTGTATTCCTGAAGCAACCAAAGATTACTGTCCCAAATAGCTGTTCCGTGATTATACAACTCTGTTTCCTGATGGCCTGTATTTTCTCATTGGTGATTAATTAATACTGTAGGGAGCTCTTCGTATAGGTTTTAAGTTTGTGATTTAATGGTAGCCTTTGAGATCATTGTGCTGATGTGTAGTCTGTAGAATTCCTTATTATTGTTTTCTCAATGGTGGGAAAGTTAAGAAAAAAATGATTGACATTTTCAGTCTTATAACCAGCTTCCATAGAATTATTTTTTCAGTCCAGATTGTGCTTTTATTTACTTCAGAATGCTTTCTTAATCTTTTTTGCTTGAACTGGTCTGCATTGAGTTAAAGTTGAATTTTAAAGTTATTTCTTTGTGCCAAATACCTGTTTTAATAGTTGACTAATCCTACAATTGTATGGTGCTTTGGGGGGATATATTGCAGATCTAACACTGTGCTCTATAACTTTGTAGACTTCTTTCTACATTAATCACATGTGTTATGATTGCAAAGCCATCTGTACAGTAAACCAGAGAAAACGTGAAGAAATAAACTCAGACTCGTGTTTCCAAAAGATTGGTGAGAACAACAATTTAAAAAAAAAAATGTTGCAGAAGCTGAGGTTTTTAAAATATTATTGATTTACCTTCCATTTATCTTTATAGTCTTAGATATACAAAGACAATGGAAAATTTCCTCCTCATTTCTTTTTTTTTACTTTTATAAATGAAATCAATATGCCCAACAAAGAGTCATTTGTTTATGTTAATGTTTGAGCATTTATCTATAATAGTTTTATGTGTATGTTGATTTAAAAACAGTATTGTTATTGTGTATTGCATTGTAATCGTGGGAATTTTTCTTGTACCATTTGAAAGTAGTCTCAGCATTGATACAATGCTCTGTTTTATGATACATAAGTTAGGTGTCTCCTCCAGTAACTTGTGCTGGTTTAGTAATGTAGCAACCTGTATGTATGAACACTGTATTCCTTTTGAGGAGCCAAATCGATAGAAGTTGTTAAACACCAAATATAATGACACTGAATTTTTATTATGTTGAAATTTTCTGTTCTAAGTAAACCCTCAAAACAATTCCAGTCACTATATTGTTTTTGAATATTTCTATTCAAAGTAAACGCCAAAAACAGTTCCAGTCGCAATGATGTGGGTATTGCTGAAATAGTACGTTGCAAAATGGTCACGCTGCACATCCCAGAGGTATCCCAGCTCTGAGTGAATGCCTTGGAACAGCTTCTCATAAATGTTGACAACGCAGGCAACTTTGTACCTACGGAGTGTTAAAAATACAGCATGTTACAGCTCTCTTGCAGGGAACCACATGTTCGGGAGCCTTGCCGAGAACCTGTCAAAGTTGAGCTCCTGTATCCTGGTCCGGACCTCCGCGGCCACGGCCCCCGCCAGCTCGCCGCTCTTGACGGGGTCGTACTCCGCCGCGCCGAGCATCTCGTGCATCACCTCCCGGAGGCACCCGAGCGCAGCCTCCTCGGCCCACGGCCGCTTGGGCTCGAGGCGGTAAGTGTTCTGGTACGTGGGGCGGAACTGGAAGCAGCAACAAGGAACTGGTTGTCGATGTCGCACACTCGGTACTTTCCTCCGCAGCGCGAGTCATCGCTGCCCCCCTCCTTTTTTTTTTCAAAGGTGTATCGGCGATTCATGTTTACACGTTGT